AGATGTGAATAAGAGCCAGATCGTTCTGTGATATGCACTACGGTCGTTGATTGGTTGACTAGAACTTTGGATCTCTGCTTATCTTCATGACTTGAGAGATTCCTTTGTTAAGACATATGAATGCTTTCTTTGTTTTATATTGTTGAACCACCCGGAGTAAACTATGTGTATTAATTAAAGAAGAATTAAACATATTTTATCATGATTTCTTGATCATTTTAATTGACATGTTTCTTATGAATCTAGCAATGTGTTATGTTAAAGTTAGATAAAATTGCTATCGTATTTTACGTTGATTATTGTTACAGAATTGAGATAATGAAAGGGAGAACATTGACATGAATTTTGAGGCTTAGAGCGGTCATATTCACGTAAGGATTTGTTCTATGCATATTACTGATTAACATGTTAAGTAATTGTTTGTAATTCAAAGGTTGATGTTTTAGAGTGTATCGTACACTATCGTGATTAACGATATCTTACTATGATTAGTAAATGAAGTGAAATGATAATATGGAACTTGATGATGATATGTGATTTACACATCAAATGATGTTAATATGAATGAGGGAATTCGTGTTATGTGTCAATTACAACATGTGCAAGATTCCTCGATTTGTTTGAGATTTAATAATTCTTTTCTTTTACTTGTTTTATATTGTTTTATGTCAATTTTTATATTTTCTTGTATTTAGTCACCGAACAAACGATCGAATGAACGAAAGGTAGTCAGACAGACACGGTTGGAACAAAATAAAAGTTGAGATTGTTTAACTGATGGTCGTATTGTTGCCTTGTTGTTCGCGTTTGTGTGATTTGACCAAAGACGCCCTCTATACACCAAACTTGCTCCGAGCCCAAGAGCAGTTACAACTTGTTTTACCCTGTTATCTGTTTTTTTTTAAATTATATGTATGGTAATTTCTTTATACTGTATTTCCCTATGAATTTTATATTTTTATTTTGCAATAATTCCTATATTGTATAATAAAAGCACAAATTTTCCTATATTTTAGTGGCAAAGGGAAGAAACACTGGTACGCTGCCCAAAAGTGAACAAAATGTTAGGTCACTTGCAAAGCATTTAAAGGACCAGATGAGGGAAAATAATAGATTCTGGAAGTCAACAATGAAGGAGCAAATGGAGCAAGTAAAGGAAATTGCTAAAGAGGAAAGAGCAGCAATAAGCTCTCTGCATAATACGTTTAATGAAGGTTTAAAGCTACAGCAGAACTATTTCGCCACAACCCAAAGAAACCAAGAGCGGTTGCTGGCTGTATTGGAAAGAATGGTGCCAGCACAACCACAGCAATTGCAGCTTCATCCCAACATGTTTCCAAATCCTTTTTTGGGCAACTTGAATAGCAACAATTATTAACTTTATCTCAAATCTAGTCTTGTATATATACAGTATGCAGTTCATCATTCACTGGCCATATTGACTCATTAATCATACTCTATTTAAATTTAAAGCATTTATCCATCCCATTGATGCACTGTTTACAGTAAAATTATTTGTTATGTTCTCTGTTGTATTTAGAATTTATTAGCCACAGTTTTCCTAGCAATACCAATTTTAAAAATCAAGATTTGATTTCTCAGCTTGGGCAGATGCAGGAGATCGCACCCCCTCCTTGCCAAATTATATTTATATAAATGGATTATTGTTGTATTTTTTATATAAATTCCAGTACCAGTTAGATTTTAAAGTTATGAAAGTGCAATTTCTGGGTTCGTATTCTTAAAATTTTCATGCCTTACCCACAACCATTTTGGCGCTGAGATGGTGTGGACTCGCACCCCCTACAGCCAAATCCTGCATCTGCCCCAGATCAGACGTCGTCAAAAGAATAAATTGTGTGAAATATTGTTACATTTTTAATTTATATAGTATGATATGTACAGTTCTATGCAAATGAACCAAGAACAAAGAAATACCAAACGTAATCATATTTTCTAAGAAAAAGAGTTTAGAATTTAATGAAACATTTACATCAGCTTTAAAAGTATGGTATAATTCAACTTGAATATCCATAAATTGGATAAAACTCGATAATTCTAATTCTAACCTATCGATCTTTAGACAAAAATGATAAACTAATGAACACAGAAGAAATTTTAACAGGAATATTTTGCGGAACCTGTTCCTGAAATATACACATAACAACATAATAAAAGTCCAAAAAAAAAATCCAATCAGGGGAACATTGTTCATTATAAAGATATTTAATGGGTTAAAATCTAACGCTTTATCGCACAACTACTGTGCTGAAGCGTATAAACGCATGTCGTTGCCAAGTTGTTGCTAACGAAAAATGTGAATTATAGGATAATACGCCCGCACGCGATCCAAAGGCATACAATGGCTATGTTCTCACAAGGCAGCTAACGGTTAGCAGAATCAGGATTCTGGTAACCGTTAGCTGGCGTGTGTCCATTCGAGAAAACCCCGATCCGGATACCAAGAAAATGTCGACATTTTAAAGTCACTCAATCGGAAGTCAACCGATAGATCATTCGCGCGAGAATTGAAAACAAAATTTCGAGGTT